AATTTCCCTAGTTTTCTGTTTTTCCTTTTGTCAAAAAAGAGATATTTTGCCAACATCTTTATATTGTGAGGTCTGAATATTTTCCTATTCAAGTACATTAAATTAACAGCTCAAGAAATGAGCAATATCAGAGGCAATTTTCCTAGTCTGTTGCTCTTCCAGGGTAGGCTATATATACCTGTAGGACGTCTGGCTATAGATAAGTCAAGTAACCAAACACCCAATTTATTGCATAAACTTCTCCTAAGTACATTCTTGAAAATGGAAAAACAAGGACCCAAACTTTTGGTTGTTCTAGATACCGAGTTGGGAACAAAATAAAGAAATGGAAGTAAACTTCTCAAGAGCAGACTTGCAGCTTTATCCTCCCATGTAGCTCAGAAACAGCTGCTACAAGGATGCCATTGGCCTCGCCCCTCCTCGGAACGATACTCAAACAGATCAGTTGGAAGCCCTTCATTCCGGCATCTGCTCTGTGTTTATAGCTACAAATGCAGGCTGCCGGACACCCTCAGTACACCGTAAACGTAGGAGTCACACATCCCGCATGGCAACAGGCTCACTGGGTGATATGTTCTCCAAGGTTTTCAGTGCCTTGCTTCAGTTGGCAAAACTCGGCTAGATTTTTGTTGCTGTAGAAAATATTAGATTGCTTGTGGTTTTTATAACTTTGGAGGTAAAGCAGGTAAAAATAAACAATTTAAAAAAAAAAGCGCTAACAACATAGGCACTGAGATTATTGGTATATTTCAAAATTATTGTCTGCAGCAATGTATCATAGAGACTTAGAAGATAAACAACAGAAGAATTAATAAGAAAAAAAAAATGAATAAAGGAATGGATTTTTTCCATAGACGTTTAGTTCCAAAAACCGCTGTAAGTCAGCTCAGCTCTGTGGAGAAGCTAACAGTTGTACTAAGAAAGCTACATGTTACAATTAGTATTTAGCAATAGCTTTCTCACCATAACACTCTGTCACTGCTTGATAAATTACAGCCAATGAGTGAGCAATATATTGGTGAAACCAGCACTTATTAAACAACCAATCAGGTTCATTTAGACTATGCTGACTTTCTTTTTTCTTTTCCTCAGAAGCAGGCTCTTAAATGAAATTATGGTAATTTGCTTTCTAAACTACGTTATAACCAAACCAAACCAAACCTATGGTTGTCCAGACAATTCTGACTCACTGACCCTATGGAACAAAGTAGAACTGCAGATAAAATTTCCAAGGCTATAAACCAGCCACTCCTCGGAGGGAAGGTTGGGCAATCTACTTCCGCAGTGATACCGCCTCGGAAACCCAAGAAGGGGTCGCTATGAGTCGGATCCGACTGAATGGCAGTGAGTTGCCTTGCGTTGTAATCGTTACAAAGCAGACTGCCACATTTTTCGCCTGCAGAGCAGCTGCTGGTGGGTTCCAACCACTGACCTTCATGGTTAGCAGGTGAACACTTGAACCACTATGCTACCAGGGCTTCTAACTTCATTATAGTTAAGGGAATTTTCTCAACGTAGAAGGAGAGCAGTTCCAGGTGTGGGAAAGTAATCTGAACGCACAGCAACGCCTGGCTGCCTATGGAAGGAAGTGCTTAGCATCTTGAAGGCAGCATTGGATAGCTCCATCATACCCCAGGGGCAGGTTCTGTGTATTTCGCTTCAGAAACAGCTCTGGGACAGGGGCTCACACCTGTCTGCACACAGCACATGGAATTACTGGGGAACTTTCAAAAGTAACGGATTCTGGGCACTGACAAAAACCTCTCTTGATCCTATGGGTTCTTTATTTTCATTCAATAGTCAGAGTGACAGCTTTCAGAAACAACATATTCCCAGAAATCATATTTCAAAGTTTCTCTAGAACCACAGTGAAGGCAGAAAAATTATAGACGTGGAGTTGGATAACGGTGGATGGTAGAATTCTCATAATACCATAATTCCTACGAGCATTCCAGCTTTCACAATGCCTTTCTTCTTTCCAGTTCATTTCCTCTCATTCTTTTTCTTCTAGTAAAAATTGTTATGATGTCATTTTAAGTCTGGACTCTGGCTATGGTCTATTTTTTTTCCCTCGTTCCACAGCATTGTTGCTTTGCTTTCATGTCTGCTGATAACTCCCTGTCAGGAGGTTGCAATTGAAGGAGTGCTGCCTGGCATGGCACCATGGCAAATGAGAAACATTTGACTATAAGTAAATTTTATAACAGCATTTTATGAAGAACTTGAAGTTGATATATCAAGAAGAGTTGTAGTTGATTGACTTCACCCTAGCACTTGATACAATTCAGAAATGTCTTTATTTGAAACAGTAATAACTTCATGGTTTTCAAACATGGTTTTCCAAAGTCTCTCTCAACTTCTCGTCATTCCAACTACTTGATTTCTGTAACAGATGACCATGTTCTTCTTGGCAAGTAAAATACAAATCCAGAATTTTACCACGTAGATTTTTGACATAAGAGGAGAAATTTCATACTGGCTAAGATCTAAGCAAAGAATGAGTTCATAAGTGGAATATCATTTTTAAATTACACATATTCACGTTGGCTTTGTTTCCTCATGAACAAAACATGGAAAACAGCATCGGTTTTAGCTTACTGATTTGCTGATTTGTTCAAGAGGGCAGAATGTTGTAAAACAATGTATATGTTATGATTATTACTGTCAAAATCCTTCACTTTCTAAGGATTGTTTCAAAAAGTGAGATTAATGCTGCTAATGGGGAAAGTTGCTGAATTCTTGAATAATCAAGTTACTGTTAGCAATTTAAACATCCACATCATTTATAAAATTGTCAATGTGCATAAAATTTGTTTTCATGGGATTCAGAAAGAGATGACACATGCAAATTTTAATGTATGCTTCTTTGGACAACAGAGTCAGGAAGATGTGCATTTATTGCACAAACTCTTTAGAAGAATAGAAACAATCTGGACTTTGATGTTCTCACTCAAGTTTAGGGCTTATC